TACTGGAGTAATTTTTTTCAGTGTAAGGAATAAACAGAGGGAAGACAATGAATAAAATATAGGGCGACAAGCAGAATGAAAAAATGAACAGTGCAGAGGGATATGAAGGAGCATGGGTGAAAAAAGGTAAATAAAAAGTGAATGACATGGGCAGGGGCAGAAGGATTGCTGAGAATTTTTGGGAGGGGAATAGAGTGATTTGAAAAATGGATTCATAAGATTGGAGGAGATTTAGGTTCAAATATGGCATATTTAATTTAACCCATAAATCTTTCTACTTTGCCTCTTTTTACATGATCTGAAATTGATTTGTTAAAGATTTATTTATTTGGAAGGCAGAATTATGGAGAGAGATATAGAGAGAGATGTAGAGAGAAAGAGAGAGAGAGAGAGAAATCTTCCATCCACTGTTCACTTCCTTAACAGTCACAATAGCTGGGATTGGCAGGCTGAAGCCAGAAGCCTGGTGCTCATGTGAGTGCAGGAGCCCAAAGACAGGCCATCTTCTGCTGCTTTTCCCAAAGGGGTGGATCAGAAGTGGAGCAGCTGGGATACAAACTGGCACCCATATGGGATGCTAACATGGCAGGTGGTAGCTTAACTCATTTTGTCACAATGTTGGCCCCTGAAATTATTCAAAATGCAGTGTTGGGTTAAAAAAAAAAAACACCTTTAAATGAAGTCAGTTAATTATTTACACCTTTGGTTATTTGAACCATTACTGAGAAATGTGCTAGAAATTACAGTGAAAATCGTCTGCTAATACAATTAAATCATGCTTATTTTACTATGTTGAAAACCGAAAACTCTTACAGTTTGATAACCAACTGAAGTTTCTATAGCAGAAACTTAATTTTTATTCTTTTCTTTACTTTAAATTAATCATCTTTTAACAGGAAATAGCATAATTTTTAAGAGTATACCTACATTTTGGTAAAATACTTATTTTTATTTATTTAAAATTAATTTTAGTTTGAATATAGTATCTTTAGTATTTTAGATTTATTTGAGTATTTTACTTCTTTTTTTGCTAATATTTTTCTAGACATTTTTCCTTCCATCTAAATTTTCTTCTTTAGTGATATAGTCATTCATACTGTCCTCTTATAATTAAAAAATTCTGTGAGTAATGCAAAATTGTGTATCTTTTATAATTTTATTTTTCAAGATTTATTATTTTATTTGCTTAAAAGAGTTACAGAGAGAAGCAGAGACAGAGAGAGAGGCCTTCCACTGGCTAGTTCATTCTCCAAATGGCCACAAGGGCCTGAGCTCTATGGCATGTTTTGATATGCAAACACCATGCAGTGGTCTTGTACATTCAAGTTAATCGTTGTTTCTGATACTGCTAAATGTTTGAACCCCATTGAAATCCATCTTTCCTTTCTCCTCTTCCAGGCTTCTACTCTTTTAGAGGCAACCCTGATCATAATACTTAATTTGCTTTTCCTAGAATTTTGTATAAACTACAACAAATGCTTTATATTCCTTTTTTGGTCTGACTTCTTTCTTTAAGCTTCATTATTTTGAGATACATTCATGTTGTAGTGGTTATCAATAGTTCATGCCTTTTTATTGCTAGGTAGCATTCCATTGTATGGGTGTACCATTGTTTGTGTATCAATCTGTTGATGGACATTTGGATTGTTTCCAGTTTGCAACTATTACAAATAGAGTGCCTATGGATATTTTTATAGGCTTCTGTATGAACTTGTGTCTTTATTTTGCTTAGATAAATATTTAGAAAGAAATGTTTATTTTTTAAATTATTTTTAAAAGATTTATTTATTTGTTTGAAAGGCAGAACTACAGAGAGCCAGAGGCAGAGAGAAGAGAGAGAGAGAGAGAAAGAGAGAGAGATATCAGTTTTCCATCTGCTGGTTCACTCCCCAGAGGGACACAACAGCTGGAGCTGTGTAGATCTGAAACCAGGAATCAGGGGCTTCTTCCAGGTCTCCCATGCAGGTGCAGGAGCCCAAGGACTTGGGCCATCTTCTGCTTTCTCAGACTGTAGCAGAGAGCTGGATCAGAAGTAGAGCAGCTGGGACTCTAACCTTTGCCCAAATGGGGTGCCAGCACTGCAGGCGGTGGCTTTACCCATACACCACAGCACCAGAAGGAATGTTTAGATTATGTGAGTGATTTCTTTCCAAGAGAATTTCTGATTGTTTTGCTAAGTGATCGATCATTTATACTCCTCCAACCAGCAGTGTATTAGAATTCTAGTTCCTCCACATTCTATTCAATACTTGGAGTGGTTAGTTTTTGATTTATTAATTTTAACAGATGTTTAGTTGTATATTCAATTTGCATTTCCCTAATGGATAATGATGTTGAGTATTTTTTTCATGTGTTTATTTTCTACCTGAGTATCACTTTTGAAGTATGTGTCTAAATCCTTTGCCAATTAAAAAAAATTATAGAAGTTTTGTTGTTGAGTTTTGAGAGCCTTTATATATTGTTAATATAAATGCTTTATCAGATAAATTATCTGCAAATATTGTTCTGTTATGATGTGTTTCTCAATCTTTTAACATTTTTCCTAAGAAAAATAATTTAATGGTTTAGTTTATGTTTATTCTTTTATAGAATTTGTTTTTGCATTTTGTGTCTATGAACTCTGCACAGAATCGAAGGTCACAAAGATTTCTTCTGTGTTTCAGAGTAGAAGCTTTATAATTGTAGCCTTTGCATTTATACTTTGAATTCCTTCTGAGTTAATTTTTACATGAAGTATGAAGTTCACTTTTTAAAAAAATGTGGGGATATGCAATTCTAGGACTATGACTTAAAAGGACTATGCTTTCTGGACAGAATGACCTTTTCATCTTTGATGAAATCTATTGTCCATGTATGTGTAGGTCTATTTATTTTTTTAAAAAGTTACAAAGTTTATTTGACAGATTGCATGCTCTCCTACCTACTGGTTCACAGCCCAGATGCTTTCAACAGCATGGGGGAGGGCAAAAGCAGGAGCCAGGATCTCAATCCACATCTTCCACATGGGTGGCAGGAATCCAACTACTTGAGCCATCAGTACTGCTTCATAGGGTCTGCATTAACAGGAAGCTGGAATCAAGAGCCATAGCTAGGTATTAAACCCAGGCACTCTGATGTGAGATGTGGGTGTCCCAACTGGTGGTTTAACTGCTAGGGAAAATACCCACCCTTATTTTTGAATTCTATTATGTCAGATTGATTGGTTGGCCTTTGTATCTATGTTGAAATCTTTGAATCAGAGGATATGAATTTTATGTGGAAACGTAATCACTTAGAATATGTGAAACACCTTTGTAAGAGAACAGAGGTGGGCATTTGGCGCAGTGGTTTAAATATCACTTGGATGCCCGTATCCCATAGACGAGTGCCTGGGTTCAAGTCTCGTTCCACTTCCAATTTCAGCTTTGTGCTAATGCAGCAGATGGCAGCGCCAGTTTTTGGGTCCCTGCCACCCATACGGGAGACTGCATTCTCGACTTAGGCCTAACCCTACCTGTGGCTGACATTTAGGGAGTGAGTCATCGAATGGCAGTTGCCATCTGTCTAGATCTGTTTCTTTGTTTCTCTATCTTTCAAATAAAATTAAAGTAAATAGATTTAAGCAAAAAAAAAAAAAAAAAAAGAGAGAGAGAACAAAATTGCATTGCTTTAGAAGATTTATCTGTATTTCTTTCAAAAATAGAAGATTTCTTTTTTCTTCAACACAGGAGCTGGGATTTTGATTAACTTAATAAGTGAGGTAAGTTTTAGAGAATAAACATCTTGAAAGTATTGAGTCCTGTGATCCATGGACACAATATATGTCTCAATTAATTTAGGATTTCTTTCTTTAATGTTTTATAGTTTTCAGATGTTTCAAATTGTTGCATTTGTCTATATTTCATAGTTTTGCTATTATAAATAATATTTTTAAATGTCATTTTCTTCTTGTTTATTTCTGGTAAATGGAAATATAATTGAGGGGCAGTGTTGTGGCACAGTGGATTGAAATGCCACTTGGGACACTTGCATCCCACAATAGACTGCAGGTTTGAGTCTTAGCTTCTCCACTTCTGATCCAGCTTCCTGTTAATGTGTCTGGGAAAGCAACAGATGGTGGATCAAGTACTCAGGTCCCTGACAACACCATGTGGTAGACATGGATGGAATTCCTGGCTGTGGGCTTCAACCTGGCCCAGCCTTGGCTGTTGCAGGCATTTGGAGAGTGAACCAGTGGATGTCCCTCCCTCTCTCTCTGTTGCTCTGACCTTCAAACAATCTTAAAAAATGACAGTTGATTTCTGTGTTGATAATATATCTTCAAGTTTGTTTAAGTTTTGGTAGCTTTTTTTCTTTATCATCTCTCTACATAGATGATTATGTGACCTATGAATAAAAGTTTCACTTCTTTATCTTGATCTGAATGTCTTTTATTCTTTTCCTTTTATATATAGCTAGAAATTCTTGTATAGTACATGTACTTAATTTAAATGATAAAACAGAATCTCCTTTACTTGTTCCTGAACTCAGGAGGAAGTCATTTGGTCTTTCCCTATTAAGTATGATGTTAGCTGTGGTTGTTTTGTAGATGTCTTTTTTTTTTTAGGACAAAGAAGTTCCCTTCTATTTGTATCTTTATTTTTACACTATATTTCTTACAGGCACTTTAGCCTTCATTTTTACCAAGTCTGACAGTCTCTGCCTTTTATGGGTAGGTTAAGTCTATCTTCTTGCATTTTTTTAGTACATATTTGTTTCTTTTCCTTGATTTGGATTAAGTAGTATTTTTTAATTATTTCACCTCAGTTTATCATCTATAATTTCTGTTATTCACATAGATACTTTAGGTTTTATGTTATATATCTTAAACTCATCATCATCTACCTTTATGTGATATTATGCCATTTCACATGTAAATACAATAGTAAATACCTGTTTCTCCCCTCATGACTTTTACACAATTGTTGTCATACATTTTATTTTTATATATTATAACCCACACTGTATTTATATATTTTTTTTAGGGGAGCGCACGAATGCAATCCCCCACTACCTAAAATTAAGCTGTTGAGTTTCCCACCTTTGGGGAAATTGCAGGGGTCAGCACATTTGAAGTGTAATGGATAGCCTCGCCATGGGAAGACCACGTTTGTGATCATGGTATCTCACCTGCTAGGTAAGTATGCATTTGTTATTTTTAAAATAGTCAGTAATCTTTTAAAGATATTTAAGTAATAAGAGGAAATGATTTTATATTTATCCAGTTTCCATTTCCAGTGATATTCATTACTTTGTGGACAACAATAACAATAATTATTTCTATTGTAGTTTTCTTCTATTTGAAAGATTCACTTTAGCTTTCATTGTGATTTAGGTCTGCTTTTATGACTACCTTTAGTTTTTGTCTGAAAATTTTTTATTTTGCTGTAATTTTTAGAAGATCATTTCCCTGGTTATAGAATTATCCATTGAGAATTTAATCTTCAGAATTTTTAAAGATGCTACTCCATTGTCTTCTTTGGCACGTTGTTTCTCACAAGAAATCCAGTGCCATCCTTTTCTGTGTTCCTCTGCGTGTATCTTTTGAATCCTCTGATTTTAAGATTTTCTCTATGTCACTTGATTTGAGTAATTTGGTTTTGCTGTACATAGATGTAGTTTTCTTCATGCTTCTTATACTTGGGATTCATTAAGATATTTGGATTTGTTGGTTTATGAATTTGGAAACATGTTGGCCATAATTTCTTCAAATTTTTTTTCTAACTCTCCAACACCTTTGAGAGCACTGATTTAATATACTGAAGTTGTACCACACTTACTAGTTGTGTGCTCTTTGAAGGTGTACCTTACTTACAATTTCTGTTATTTCAAAAACTTCATTTTTCTCTGTTTAATTTTATGTAGTATTTATTAATACATGCTGAATTTCAGTTATCCTTTGTTCTGCCATATGTGATCTGTTAATTCTATACAGATTTTTTTTGTCTAATACATTGAATTAGGTTTAGAAGATGGAGATAAGTTAAATTAAGACAAATTTGGGTATTGTTCTTATATCTTCTGTGTCTGTACTTATTCTTTTTAACACATAGAATGCAGTTATAATAAATATTTTAGGGGCCCGGTGCCATGGCTCACTTGGCTAATCCTCGCTGGCATTCCATATGGGCACCGGGTTCTAGTCCCAGTTGCTCCTCTTCCAGTCCAGCTCTCTGCTGTGGCCTGGGAGGGCAGTGGAGGATGGCCCAAGTGCTTGGGCCCCTGCACCTGCATGGGGGACCAGGAGGAAGCACCTGGCTCCTGGCTTCGGATCGGTGCAGCGTGGAAGGCCTTTCTCTCTCTTTCTCTCTCGCTCTCTCTCTCTCTCACTGTTTGTAACTCTATCTGTCAAATAAATAAATAAAAAATCTTTTAAAAAAGTATTTTAATGCTGCTGTCTGCTAATTCTAAATCTGTGTAAGTTCTGGGTCAATTTAGATGGCATCTTCATTTTTTATTGATTCTTTGTATATCTAGTAACTTTTTATTGAATGTCAATTGTGAATTTTATCTCATTGATCAATGGATAGTTTTGTATTCCTATAAATATTCTCGAGTTTTATAACTTGATTCTTTTTTAAAAGATTTATTTATTTATTTGAAAGGCAGAATTACAGAGGGAGAGAGAGAGAGCAAGAGAGAGAGAGAGAAACATCTTCCATCCACTGTTTCCCTACCCAGATGGCCACAGTGGTCTGAGCTGGGCCAATCCAAGGTCAGGAGCCTGGAGCCTCCTCCAGGTCTCCCAGGCAAGTGAGGCTATAGCAGAGAGCTGGATCAGAAGTGGAGAAGCTGGGACGCAAACTGGCGCCCATACTGGATGCCGACATTACAGGCGGGAGTTTTACTTGCTATGCCACCGTGCCGGCCCCTAGCTTGATTCTTTTGAACAATACTATTGGGAATTCTTCCATAGGTCTAGGTAGGTGCACAGGAGCCAGGAGCTTCTTCTGGGTCTCCTAAGTGGGTGCTTAATCCCCTGCACCACAGTGCTGGCCCCTAAAATTAAATATTAAGTTTTTGAATATTTATGTTTATTAAGACAGTCATGTTCCCATAGATCCTAGTTAGTATGTGACATTTGAGACAAATAGTTCACTTAAACATCATAAATGACAAATTATTTTCATAATGCATATTATCTATCACTAAGTTTTTATCATTATTTTAAAATTTTTATTTATTTTCATGTCTTTGAAAGGCAGAGTGACAGAGAATAGATATAGACACACAAACACCCCACACAACCCCACATATATCTTCCATCCACTGTTTCACAACCTAAATGCTTGTGATAGCCAAGGCTGGACAAGGCTGAAGCCACCTCGACTTCTATCTGTGTCTCCCACATGGGTGAGAGGGACCAAACATTTGAACCATCATCTCCTGCCTCCCAGGTTGTGTTAGCAGGAAGCTGAATAGGAAGCAGAGTAGCTATCACTCTAATTGGCACTGCAATGTAAGATATTAGTACTCCAAGTAGAAAATTAAACCTCTGTGCCACAACACCTTCTCTTATCTATAGTTTCAAATAAGACTGAGTGAACAACTTTAAACATTATCTTAGTAAAATAAGGGAAAAATAAAACATGTATACATATATTATGAATTATTTTTTCTCAACGTGTACATATCTTTTATATCTGTTTATTTTTAGAGGAGAGGCAGAGAGAGAGAGGTCTTCCATCTGATGGTTCACTCCTCAGTTGGCAGTTAGGGAGCTGTACCGAATCGAAGCCAGGAGCCAGGAACTTCCTCTGGGTCTCCCACATGGGTGCAGGGGCCCAAAGACTTGGCCATTCTCCACTGCTTTCCCAGGCCATAGCAGACAACTGGATTGTAAGTGGAGCAGCTGGAGCTCTAACTGGCGTTCATATGGGATGCCGGCACTGCAGGTGGCGGCTTTACCTGCTATGCCACAGGGCCGGCCCCCAAATACATATCTTCTAATGAATTTGACTTAGACAAGTCGCTGGACTATTTTCAGTGAACTGTTATAAAGAAAATGCCTATGGGAGTTGAGATCAATGGCCAAATAATATGCGTGTTTGGAAACACAGTCCTCCTTGTGCTCCTATGTGATTCTGTAGGTGTGCTAGTACTGCAAATCTGTGCAAGTTCTTTGACCTGGGCTATTTTTCATTGTTAAGAGTTAAGGTAACTTCTTTCAAAAGCATGCTTACTGACTCCTCATTTTAATAGTAGTGGATAATGGAAGCTCAGTGTTCCTCAGCTGCAACTCACTATGTACATAGTGTCTTTGGGTCATAAAGTTATCAATTCCATGTGGTGGGTGAGGAAAACTGATGTTATGATATTATGTTATGCTGCTTGCTGTGTCATCAGTAAATTTTTTTTGTGACAAGCAGGGTTAGACAGTGAGAGAGAAAGACAGAGAGAAAGGTCTTCCTTCTGTTGGTTCACCCCCAAAATGGACGCTATGGCCGGCACGCTGCACTGATCCGAAGCCAGGAGCCAGGTGTTTCCTCCTGGTCTCCCATGTGGGTGCAGGGCCCAAAGACTTGGGCCATCCTCCACTGCCTTTCTGGGCCACAGCAGAGAGCTGGACTGGAAAAGGAGCAGCTGGGACAGAATCTGGAGCCCCAACCGGGACTAGAACCTGGGGTACTGGCGCTGCAGGCAGAGGAATAGCCTAGTGAGCCACGGCACCAGCCTGTCAGTAGTTAAACCCAAGGGTCTTGTGTCTTGATATCCATGAAACAGTTATAGGCTATTTATTAAGTTTATTAGCTTTTAGATAAAGTCAAATCCTGGACCAAACAGATTTTTTTAAAGCCTTGGCTGTAATCTGTTATCTATGATAACCTGGCAAAGCTTCACTTTGTAATTAAAGATTCAAAGACATTATTAATGATTTCCCCCGTGATTATTGAAGAATTCAACCATAATGAGAATATATATTGCTAATTCATAAAATCACTTTTAACACTCTAATCTTTTTACTTTGTCTTGTTTGGTAATCTTTGAAAAATAGGCAAATTAAGTGTGATTTATTCTAATGTATTTAACCAAATGTATCTGAACTTACCTGTTTTTATGTGGAATATTTTCATGGTATATGGTGTAAGCTCTGTTCATTCAGAAGGAAAACAAGTAAGAAATGAAAAATAGATTTAGGTAATAGAAGTATGAAACAGAATTGTAAAAATTTATTCTTGTAATTCACAATCTTTTTTCCCCTCTCTTTTTGGTTTTATGAGTATTTCATATTTTCCACTAATACATTTTCACCATTTCAGAACTGATGAATTTTCTAATTACGTATGACTTTGTATTCTGCCAAATGCTAGCTACTTTATTTTATCTTTCCCTATACTTAAATATAAAAGTCTTGGAAAAGCTCATTATCTGGACATTTGATAACTGGTGAACTATTTGATTCATTTTGATATTTTAATCTCTAATTTCAAGTCATAACTAATTTTAGGGCCTTTTGGTCTAGCAAGCTTTTTTTTTTAAAGATTTATTTTATTTATTTGAAAGACATAGTTACAGAGAGAGAGAGGTAGGGAGAGATATAGATAGAGAGATCTTCTATCTGCTGGTTCACTACCCAAATGGCTAAAACAGCCAGGAGCTAGGAGTTTCTTCCATACCTGCCACATGAGTGCAGAAGCCCAAGAACTGGGATCATCTGCTGCTGCTTTCCCAGGCGCATTAGCAGAGAGCTAGATTGAAAGTGGAACAGCTGGGACTCTAACCAGTACCCATATGAAATGTCTACCTTGCAGATGGTGGCTTAACCCGTTATGCCACAATGCGAGCCTCATCCAGAACGTTTTGAAGCTTTGTTGTGGTATTCAGTTTTGTTAAAGTAATTATTTCTCATTCTCTCAATCATTTGAAAACCTTGGAAAAATTAATAGCAATTAGAATGCCACTACAATTTAAAAAAACAGTTTATTTGAAAGGCAGAGTGACAGAGAGAGAGATGTGGAGACAAAGGGATAGAGAGAACGAGAGACAGAGACACAGAGTAAGATACAGAGATCTTCCATCTGCTGGTTTACTACCCAAATGGCCACAATAACCAAGGGCTGAGCCAGGTTGAACCCAGGGGCCTGGAACTCCATCCTGGTCTCCCGAGTGGGCCACAGGGGCCCAAGCACTTGGATTATCTTCCT